CTAACTACATGAGAACAACAGCAGATCAAAAGAGCATCTTCAAGCGAGAAATCCAATTAAGCCCTAGAAAAAAAGTCAAAAAGACACTGAAATGTAAGAACATGACTCTGATGCTTAAATTTGAATGTTGCACATTAGCCAAAGAGTGCATAGCCATAAGTATCCATTAAAATGCCAGGCACAACCCTTTGAATCTCCATGGTGATGTAAAATAAGTCGTGCGCATTTAAAGAGAGAAGTCCAGCTATTCAAACAACAATTCTGAATCTTGCCTCAATTAATTGTGTGACAGATAAGCAAAATAACATTGGTCGACTATTAAAATTCTTAAGAATTAAAAAAGTAATATGTTACTTCCTTTTCAAATGGCATCAATCAGAACGTTTCCAAATCTGAACAAAATTAAAGGTAACAGATAACATTATGACTGTTCAAAGTGCAAATGGCCACAAACCAATGCAGGAACAGCTCGGCTACAAACATATTATTTGCCGTATCTCAATTGCAAATCTTATCATATTTTTTTCCCAATTTGGGTTAACAGCTGTTTCGCGCGGGTTAGTCGCTAACAATTAAAAGGGATCAGACGATCGTGTAAGGGACAAACCTCTTGAGACAAAGTCCCAAAAAAGGGGTGTTCTTTTATTGGCGATGACTTTACAATTGGAAGTGAAAAACAACGTGCCTCCAAGGGACGCAAGCACACGAGTTATTGAAAGGAAAGTGTTAAAATCTAAAAACTAAGGAAATGAAAATTATATGTTCTCTGTTCGAGAGTTTTTGATTCGGTCCTTTGCTTCTATGTCCTTTCTCCCTTTTATACTTCATGGACGATCTCTTTGTGATCAATCGCTCTAAAAACTGCTTGATCGTCCTATAACTGCCCACTTTCTTCGTAATGGCCAACTTGTCATGAAAACTGCCTTTTTTAACTGCTGTCATTACCCTTCATCATTCAACCGTTTTCGATTGAGTTCCTTGAATCGTGGAACGTGATAGGGCTACTTCAATAACTGCCTAGATAACTGCACTTCTTGATAACCACGACGCTTTATGTTGTTAAGACCTTGGGTGATTTGAAGGTTTGGGCGAGAATAGAGTAACAGTTCTGGGCGACTGTATGACACTCCATTCGCTCAGATTCTGGGCGACTTGCGAACTTGGGCGATGGCGTTACCGCGTTCTTGGGCCTCCTTATTTGGGCCTTCATCTTGATTTGTTCGATTGGGCTTCGTTCTTTGGGCTGTCTGATTTGGGGATCCTCCAATTGGGCTTCACTTCTTGGACTGCTCGATTTGGGCTGAATTTTTATGTGTCAACAACAGCAAAAACCAATATTCCCAAATTATAATTCAGTAACTTTATCTGTTCCCTACATGCAAACCTGAGAGTGTAAACTTTAAACCCAAGTCATCATTCCATCTCCTCTTTAAGGGCTAAACATATAGAAATATAACCTTTTTCCATTTGTAATCAATAACAGGATCGTTAATATGCTAAAAATGGTTTGAAAACTAGACTCTATATTTTTTACTTTTTACATGCACACAGTCAGGTGAAGAAAATTAAAACCTCGTGTAAGAGATTCTGATTACAGTAATCCGAAGAGATAAAAATAAATAAATTACTTCGAACCTCGAATAAAAGAGACGACATTAAAACAGTCAGCCAAAATTTCTCACTGAAAACCTTCGATTCACCAACTTGCTGGATAAAACACACGGGGGAAAAAATCCATCTTTCCAAGTTTCCAACGTAACCTATAATTGAGCGGGAAAAAATAAATACACACACGAGCAAACTTTCGGCTTAACAAAACCCTGGAGTGAGAAAGTGAGCGAAAGATCACAGAGGCGCGTATTCAGTCCATGGGAAATGAAAATGGAGAAAAAAGAGTATTTATTGCATATAGACACTCAGATATGTTGTAATATATACTGTGTATGTGAAGTTACATCCTGAGTGAAATGCAATATAGAGAAAAATTTTGATGGTGGAGTGAAGCGTGGTGTGGGGGTTGTACCTTCACGGTTGTTAACTGGCGGTGTGGAGTGGTGGAGGACAGAACTGAGAAGGTCAATACAGTAACAGAGTCCAGAGAAGAGTGGTTCTGTTAAAAGTTGAGGCGGGACTTAACGGGGAGTGGGTTAGGATCTGTTTGGTTGCTTTAGTATAGGAAGGATTAAAAATAAAATAAGAGTAATGTCAGTTATTTTTAAGTATTGTTATTTTGTTCATAATGGTTTGGTTGAAAATCATATTTTTAATAAATTTTGATGAAATATATGGTTAAAAATTTAATAATAGTTGATTTCATAGAATCGTGGTTAAAAATGAGTTTTAAAAAGTTGAGACCAAAAAAAAGAGGTGGTACTGAGGATGTGCGAGTTGAGCGACCACACAGGGCCTCAAAATTGTAGGGGCACCAAATTTTATTTTTTTTTAGTTGTATATTTATTAACAAATAAATATTTAAATATGTATTAATTTTAAAATATAAAATTTTTATTTTTATGCATGAGATATTAAAATTAAGAATAATGTAAATAACTAATTATACTTTCCTTAAATATAATATTCTTAACTAGTATTCCTACATTAAATAATGTAAAGGAAAAGGGAAAAGTCCAAAAGAGATCAGATCAAGAAGAAAGAAAAATTGAAGAGCCACATTTTCCAATCGCCTTTTCGGAGAAAGAATTAAAGAAACCAACTGTCTTTTCCAATTGCTTCAATGATAATTGAGGCATAGAAGAGAGAAATCAATCGTCTTTTTTGCAGAAATAGTATTTTTCTCCAATCATCTTTGATTTGGCTCCAAAAAATTCTCTCTTTTCCTTAAGCAATGATTGACGATTCGTATTTTTCATTAAACTCTCGCTGAAAATCTGAATCACCTGTTATTTTTTCTTTATTATCATTTCATCAATCTCGTTTAGTGATTTCGCTGATTTAAATTTGCTTTGTAAGAACTTGTTAAAATTTGAATTCGCTTTGAATAATGCTAATTTGAAAGCATGTTGTGATCGTCTTGAAATTGTTTTAAGACATATAAATTTTGAGATCTTGATGGCGAAAATTTATTTCAATAGTTAAAAGTTCTGCGAGATCTTTTACCAAAAGAAATAAAGACGGCTTTTGATATATTAACTTATTTGAAAATATTGGATTGCTTTTTGAATACATGTATTGCTTTTAAAATATTATTGACAAATCATGTTACTGTTGCATTTGTCGAAAGAAGTTTTTCAAAATTGAAGTTATTAAAATCTTATTTGTAATCAGCCATTTTACAGGATCGATTGAATATATTAGCTTTGATATCTTTAAAGCAATAATTTCTAGAAAATATTAATTACGAAAGTTTAATTAGTGAGTTTGCCTCTAAAAGTGTAAGAAGAAATATTTTTACATGATTTGTTGCATTTCACGCTTTATATATATATATATTTTCAAGGTTTTCTTCTATGGAGTTGCACGAAGAGGCTAGTGGCTTGGATGAGTCTTTATTGATAACATATGAATTTTGATGAAGTTCAAGAGATGCTTTTGAGTTTTATTTATATTTTCTTTGTTTATGTATGTAAAAATAATAATAATAATAATAATAAAACAAATATTTAAATATCATATTTTTGCAATGAAATAATATTATTTATATATTTTAGTTACTTGAAAGGGACACCATTTTTAAATCTCGTACAGGGCATCAAAATCTTAGGGTCGACTTTGCAAAAGAGAATGTACTTTTGACGCGATCAAAAATTTCTGTCCATATAGGCTCATGAGTTCAAATCACGTCACCTGTTGTCTCATTCGATAAAATTGTACACATTTTTTGAAGTGGAAATATCACGTGAAGCTAGGTAAGAAAAAAAGTTAACTTTTTCCTAATTTCATAATTACTTGCATCAAGTGAACTTTTTTATTATTATTATTATTTTTTATGAATTATGCATGTATAGCTTCAGCTAAAATTTACTTTTTCGAAAATTAGGTTAGTCTTCGAGCTTTCATTCCTCAATCCACTTATCCGTTCCTTTGTATACCTCTCCACCAGTAGATACAAATGAGAACATTTAAACCACGTCTACAAAATTCAGTGCCATGCAGTTGCTTCAAAGTCAATGTGACGCTCCTTATGTTTGGCTTTTATTTTATAAAATTCATTTTCAATCATATATTTCAAAAAATTCACAAATTTTATCAACTTTCAAATATAAATATATAACTTTTATTAAAACTAACTAAAAAAAATCTAATTTTTAGTTTAACCAAACATGGCCTTAGTACTTACTTTCAAGATTAATAAGTTCTATTACTTGGAAAAACTATAAACATTGTACAAGACGAGTAACTTAAAAATAATTTTTACGACCTAATAACTAAAAGAAAAGTGTCGTGATCATTTTTTTTATTGCATCATACATGGGCAATTACCATTCCGTTTCAATCATGTCATGTGTACATTAATTTTTACACTATACCACGTGATAATACAAGATTGGACAGTTTAAGAAAAGAAACATTTTTTCCATCAATCAAATCATGCCAACTTAGATGATTTCAAAGGTGAACATCACTTTTGATATACAGATGGCTTAACTCATTGAGTTTAGATGGTTGAGGTGTTTTTTGTCCTTTCTCTAGATTTGATTAATTGTTTTTGGATTCTGTTCGAGATTCCCTTGATGCATTGGAATCTTGTACAGAAACAAAATAATAACGTGAGGTACCTTGCAACCATGCAAAGTCAATGCCAAATAGATTGTCATTATGAGATTGTTATGACAGGATTAGCATAATCTTTGTTGATTAACAATTTGCTTAATTGTTACAATGTAATAATTAAGGTAATGTCAAAATATTACATCAAATTATAGAAATTGAAATTTTGAAGAAAAAATAAATTGATTTCCCCATGTTTGGTTTAGATATAAAATTAAATTTCTAGTAGATTTTTATAAAAATTGATGAAATGTATTGTTGAAAAGTTATGAATCCCATTAAATACGCTGCTAAAATTAATTGATGACTTTAGAAGCCTGGATGCTAAAAAGACAATTTCTAATTTTAAATCAAATATGACAGTTCCTAGCTAATCTTGTTTATCTGGAGAGAATTTACAAGAGAGTGTCTGAGTGCCAAACTACTTTATCTACAGCATTTCATTTGCTCTGAAGATTTGAACCAACATTCTCCCCCCACTTTGATTTGCCAATGCTCAAAACCAAACTGATTCAATCCAGAATCTTGACGAGGCATGGAGGAACTGTTGCATTTCTTGCATGTTACCACAATACAAACTTCCATATTGACTTCCAAAGTTGGCAGAAGCAGAGGAGAAGAAACTTCAAGGGCCAAAAACCAGCTCCTTCAAGGATGTAAATGGTGAGGAGTATCCATAAGCTCGAGTATCTCTCCATATGGTGACTCCTATTACAAGGCAAACATGATATTTAAAGCACCACAATCAACCAACATATATAAAATGGAAAACATGAGGTCTCATAATCGACATTTTCAACATCAAGATATGTCGGGCTTCTTTTTGTTCTTTCTTTTCTTTTATAGTTTGCACAAAAACCTAGTTTTAGGACTAGTGCACAACACGTGGTACTAGAGCCCAACAAGATATAATATAGTCAAGTGCAATTTTTTTCTAATTTAAAGCAAGTCTGATAGTTGGAGAAAGGATTAAGACTTAATCCCAAGCTACTGCTTCATCCTCAATGTGAGTGATAGGACACTCATCGCCGCAGATTTTCTCTAAAAAATGTATATTACAACTGTGCTTCTTATGAAAAAAATTGGACATCTTTAGCTGTATCCCTCCTCCAAAGATGGATTTAAAAATGAAAGGCTCAAAAGAAAACTTCTAAAAATTTCTATCTAAAATTTTTTTTACATTTGAAACTTATCCTTTTGTTGGAAACTTTGAAAAAATGTATAATGTTCCTATAAATCTATTTTAGATGTTTGATAGATATTATTTTTATTTATTAAATAACAAAAAATAATCTTTTGATTGATTAAAAGTTAAAATAAGAAAACGTCTTTTTACGTTTTTTTTACGCCTATGTTTCGCCTAGCCTATAGTTTAGCCTCCACGCAGTACGCCTTTTAGAACACTTGGCTCAACGTATTGCTTATCCTTTTGGGTACCTTCCCTTTTCCTTTGTAACAAAACAAGGCAGAGCATATTTGGGTAAGCTGGAAAAAAAAAAAAAAAATCGAGAACATTTTTTTCTTCTAAGCATGTTTGGATATGTTATGTATTTTAACGTTTAAGCAGCTCTTACCTTGCTACCAAGCACAATGTTAAACTTCATACCAGAAATGTGAAAGTAAGACGCACCTATCCAGGCAATAAAGCCAAGGGTTGCAGCCAAGAAGAACTCCTTGCTAATACTGTTGAAGCTGAATTTACGACAAGCTTTAAGTTTGTAAGAGAAGTACAGCCACTTGAGATACTCTTTCTAAAAAATTGCTGCAAATCAACATTTAAAAGCACATACCAGTACATGCATACTAGGTTGCCCAATCCATAGAATATACAGCCCCAGCTCGAACCAGTGAACCTGCAAATAAGTTCTTATAGACCACATATTCTTACTCATACTTTTAATTGCAATTGCAACTATCTCTCAGTTACTAATGAAAATAAATGAGATTAGAATACAAGAGATTTAGTGCATATTTGGCAAAGCTTATAATTGCTTACAAGTTGGTCGGTTTTATAAACACGTCTCTAGGACGCAAAACTTTTACCAACTATTACCCACATTATTCACACATTTTGTAGCTTATAATCTAGTAAAAAACTTTGCCAAACTTAGAGCATGTTATTAACTCCTCTGAATTATTCTACTTGTATATTCTTTGTGTACATCATGGTTGACATTGTGTAAGGTGTAAAAGTCGATTGATTGTTTTAAGTGTGTTTAAAATTAATGGCAAAACTGTGTGCCACATCACACAATGTCAAAAGAACTGTCAACCTAACGTACATTAAGCAAACTGAACTCCTTAATACATCAAGTGCTTGTGTGGAAGGAATTTTTTGAAAAACTATTCTCAACTCATTTTCAACCACACATTCTCCCAAAAAAAAATCATTTTTCATGTTTTCCCATAATTCTCCACTTCTTAATCACACATTCTCCCACTTTAAAAATTTCAAAAAATCACTTCTTAAAAGATACACCAACGCAAGCACTAAAAGCCACAATACTTTATTACATTTATGCAATAACAAAGAAACATCATTATAACAAAACTAAGTTTATGAAACAGAATGAGCCTTTTCCTTTGCCTTCTCAATGATGAAATGTGGATTGGATTAATATGCATTAGATTAACCATATTAAAATCAAAGGAAAATCATTGGACACTAGAAAGAGGGACACAGACATACCACATGAAATCCCGAATAAATAAGGCACGTGGAATCATAAATCCGTTTCCAATCATGGCAAGTAACATTGTGACAGCTGACAAACCTCTTATGTTATCAGGATTCAGAAGATTTGTCCACTGAAAAGGAAGTACAGAGTCAAGAAGTTGCACTGAATGACTCAGTGAAAATATTAATTTTTATATACAGGAGAAGAAGATGGATAACCATTTGTGCAACAGCCATCCACATGAAAAGAAGAGTGGCACACCAGCTAGATGCTGATCCAAGAAATTTTGTTCCTTGGTCTGAGAGCTTACCCATCCGAGCCTAAAAAAGGTAAACAGCGGCAAGAGTAGATCAATGTCCTACATCTCAGTTCTAGATCAAGAACTCCAATGGTAAAAATATTCAGCTCTACTCCCAAAAAGATAATATGTGAATTACAGATTGGTGAATGCATAGACATAGACATATGCATGCAACAACCATGCATAACTGACTAGAATGCATTTCATATGATGGGCTAATATCATTTGGGGATCTCATGATACAGATATAGACTAGTCTAATGTAAATTTTTGGCACCCAAAGCGTGACAAATAATGAAATCGAGCAGCAAGAGATTAAATCATAATTTACTCGGACTAACTACATCACAAGGGTCAAGGTTTGAAACTTGAACCTTTCCTTGAAATGGGTAGGAACACAATCAAGGTCCAAGTTGGGTGATGCTTCAATACATCACTAAGAGAGCTACAAAGCCCTTCACAGAAAGCAAAAGAAAGAGTATTTAACGAGGAGAGAATCTGGGTAACAGAACGTGAGAACTCGAAGTTTATTTAAGATTATAAAAAGGACATATGATGCTGTTCATAGAAGTTTGAGGAAAAGTAACTTAATGGGGAAATTTTGAAGTGCATTTTGCTTCCAATCTCAGAACGCAATTGAGCCATGAAGACCTTAAAGTGATAGTTCTTCTTTTATTCCCAACTCACTACTGTAGTTCATTTTCTTGTTTCCTTTTTCTTTCTTCTTCTTGTGTTCCCTCCATCCATTATCGCAAACTACCAATGATTTTTGCAGTCAAACATCTTTTTTCTAGCTTATTTCTGTAGGCTTCTTACCTTTTTAGTTGTGAAAAATTTTACATTGATTTTTTTTACCCTATTGAGCGGAAGTATTATTTTTATTATTTGGAGTTCTTTGGTTGACAAGGGAGACGCACTATTAAATGCCATGATCAGGATAGGCTGAGAATTGTTGCATACCCATGTGCAACCAGAGGTTCACCCTCTCTCTTCATGTACTTTATTAGGAGTTCTTTTGGTAGACAAGGGAGACATACTATTAAATACCAGGATCAGGATAGGCAGGGAATTGTTGCATAACCATGTGTAACCAGAGGTTCACCCTCTCCCTTTCATGTACACATGCACTATTTTTTAATTTGGTCATCACAAAAAATGCTGAAAAATGCCAAATGTACAACAATCTCTTACGTACATTTCAACTTTCACATTCAAGTGGAGTTTAGTGAAGTCATGCTTACCATAAGAACAGCAAGCACAGCCGTCGAAAAGGAAATCACTCCAGGCAAGATAGTGTTTGGAACATATGGGACAAATGTTGACCACATAACCTAAAACTCCATCCATGATGGACAAAGATCAGAACAAGGAAAATTTATGCTGTTCAGAATCCAGCAAGTTACTATGCATTTGAATGAGAGGAATTTTACTTGTGGAAGGGCAGAGAGCCCAGCGATAAGAATGAAATCTTCCCAAACACGCCAGATTTCCAGATTGAGCAAATTAAAGTATTTCATAAAATTCACAATGAGACCAGATGCAATCACAAGGGAAGTAGCAATAAAATGAGGAAGAGGCATAGCTTCAGCCATGGCCAGCTGCAACATCACCACGTACATGGATACAACTCCAAGAGTCTGCACCACCACTGCTTCAGTTTCCTTCTTCTTGATAAAGTACGACATCAAAGACAGATTCCCGAGCAATCCAGTGAACATCCCCTGTACCAAATAGTCATTAGTTTAGAACTTCACATGTTTGGTTGTGCTGAAAAGTAAGTTTTGTTATTAAAAGAAGCAAATTTGAAAATTATGTTTGGCAAAATAAGCAACTTAAAAAGTAAGTCTGACATAATATTAAGCACAACCATACATATAAATCCAAATCTTTAGTAATAAGTACAAGCAGAATGTGGTACCAGCCATGGAACAGCTAAGAGTGCAGACTTGTTCCCTGATAGAAGATTCCGAGTATTGAGTATAATCTGAGGCAGTTGCAACAACAGAAATGGTACATTTGCAGCTCCTGCAAACTTTGCTGTCACTGAATCCCATTGTTCAAGGTTCTCATCTCTTCTCAATGTTGATGATTCTTGTGTTCGGTTTTCCTAGCAATGATCAAGAAAGGAATTTTAGCCCCTGGATAAAGAAACTTAAGGGCAGGTTAATGTAAACAATGGAGAGAAAAAAGAATAATCATTTGCTGCCTGAATAATTACATTAAACTGCATATTAACTAGAAGGCGGGTTCCAAAGTTTACCTTAGAGAGAATATTAGAGATGCAAGGATAATACTACACCTAGACTGTTTTTAATTCAAATTGAAAGCTCATAATATAGTTTAATTTACCTGATTAGTGGGATGTATCTCTCCAGAGTTAAGTGCGGGAATTGGTTTGAGCCGATAATGGCATACTGACAGTCCAAAGATCAGCACCTCCTTCAAGCTGAGCTTTTCATGAGTGGTTCGTTTCGAGTACAGTTGAGAACAGAAAACGAACTCTAAACGACGAGAATAAGAGCAATAGGATGGCCGACAAATTTGCAGTGGCACCTTACCCGGTGGTAGTAACAAACACGACATTTGACTTTTCAGGAAATAATAATCCGTATTTTGCACTTGTATGATGGAATCTGGCCCAAGGGGTAGTTCAAGATATGATCATATGAATTTCCCGGTGACAAAAGCCAAGTGAAATGTTGCACCCTTACATGGATAAATGCATTCTTTCGCAACAGTTATATCGTGTATACTATGTAAAGACTATGTACCCAGAAATGACCATGAACTGGAGTGCTACGCTGTCTCATAATATGTATTGCATCTAAATTATACCAGAGTTCATTTGGGGAAAAAAAAATATGACAATGAAAATGAATTGTGCATTTCACCATACTCGGGCATCTCAACTCTAAGTCATGTGCATCAAAAATACCAAGAGCAGTTGATGCATTTAATTGATGGAACAAAATTTTTGCTTAACACGAAGAGCGAGTTAAAAAAAAAAAAAAAAGAGAGAGAGAAAGAGAGTAGAAATTACTTTTTTTTTCATTTTTTTTTTTTTTACATGCTTAATTTTATTATTAGAATTTTAGTTCAAGAACTTGCTCCTCTTTATTTAATTTCCTCAAAAGTACTTCATTCTTTACTTTAGGCTAAATGCTCAATAGCAATTAAAACTAAAATATGCTCTCCATAATTTGTGGTTGCTTATCATGAAATTATCTGAACCCAAAGCTCGTAATTCATTCAAATTCGTTATGCTTCATCAAAGCGATCAATTACCGATTAGTGAATTCAATTATCATGATCCTCAAGTACAAAGAAACTATCTTTTGGGCATTTCAACGAACAGAAACAAGAAAACCCGAGTTCTTTTAACAGCTTAAGATTAACCGTATTATATACAAAGGCGGAAGGGGGGGCGCAAATTACAAAATCAGGGCGACAAAGAAAATCCGATCACACGTACCAGTTTAAGAAGCAGCTGCAGAACGAGAGTAACAATACACTCAGAGATGCAAGCTTTGATTTGGTTCCTTAATTTTCCAAAAATTTATGCTAATTACGTTCATATTCTATAAATATATTTTGTGTTTTTGTGTGTATATGTATGTGTGCTTCCAGATGTACCGAACCTGATCCGCAAGAGGTGGTGTGGGAGTTTGCGTTCTTGATGTTCTTAGGAGGGAACAGAAGGTTCGGTAAAGAAGTGGATTGTGTCACCTGTCCACGTATAGATTGATATTAATACATATATTCAATCAGGACTTTTTTTCAATAAAAAATAAAAATAAAAAATAATAATAATTTATTTCACTACATCTCATTTCCCTACTATATAAAAAGGGGAAATGTGAGGACACTGTAGAAAACAACAATGTCTTGATCCATCTTTACCGTATCTTTTTTTATTTTTTTTGTTTTTTTTTTTTCAATTGGGACCAAAAACGACGACGTTTGCTTGATATATATTTTATTTTATTGTACACTACCTCCAAATTCACTGCAACACGCAATTTTCATTCTTTCCCCACTCCGATATATATATATATATATATATATATATATATAGGGATATAAGAAAAATATCACTTTTATATTAAAAAAAAAAGATAGAAATAATATGCGACAGAATTTTTTTTACAACATATTACTTGTAACTTGTAAGTAAAAATTTTGAAGAGATAAAGAGAATTTTAAATTAAAAAAAAAAATTATAACGTAAAACTACGCAGTAAAAAAAGAAGAAGAAGAAGAAGTAATCTCTCCGTACACGGAGACACTATCTCTGTGCACAGAGGGGGGAAAGAATTAAACTGAAACTTTCGTGCATGGAGACAAAGTTTATAAAAAAAATTTTATATATTATAAGTAATTGTTCTTTTTATCAATTTATTTAAATTTCTTTTCTCTTTTAAATAGAACTTAATTTTTCAATTTTAACAAAATAATATTTATATATATATTTCGAAATTTTCGATAACAAGTTAACTTTAAAAATTTGTCAAGGATTGTACGAATCAAAAATGTTTTACATTATCTCGAAACTCATTTTGAGAACTATATCGTAGAAATATCGAATGATCTAAATAAATATCGAAAATAGTTAAACGGATATTAAATGTATGTGTTAAAAAATGTGTATAAGTCGTTTTTTCTTAAAAATCAATTTTTTATTACTATTTACAGCTTATTTGGGAGCGATTTTTGTCCTAAAAAATTAATTTTTTGACCGTTATTTCACTATTTCAGTCGTCATATTTGACTTCTTCTCTCACGGGGTGGACCCCACTTTTCTTCTAACGATGAAAAAATCAATTCTCAAAATCACTCCCAAACAGACTCTTATTATTTTTTCGCAACATTTTTCTCAATACATCATTTTGCTCAAAAAAAATTGTGCGGTGTAATGTAAATTTTTTTTCAAGTATTTAAAATTTCATTTTTTCCAAGTGGGAAGCAAAAACGACACGTTCCTCCATGCATAGAGTGCATGGATATTTATTTTTTTTACATTATTATAGATATAGAAAACTAAAATAAAATAAAATTATATCATCGTAGTTGGATATATTTTATAATTTCAGACAATATTTAATTTTATAGTAATATTTTTAGTAATATTGAATTTTTTAAATTAAATTTATCTAATTTTTATTTTAGATTAAATATTAACTCAAAGTTTTAAGTATATTTCTTTACATATTAAAAAGTTTCCTTCAAGTTGTAAAAAGAAAAAAAATTAAAATTAAATAAAATAATATATACACACACACACACACACATACCAAAAGGGTATATAGTAGGAACATATAGTAAAGATTTAATTGAAATTTTAGAAATTTTAAGAATTGTTAGAAACTTACCTGTTGAAATAAGAGAAAATATAGTAAAAAGAATTTTAGTAGAAGAATATAAACATATTTATATTTTAGGAGAAATCTCTTATATATTAGAACTCTGGATACAAAAAGACAATTTGATTATTTAGACTTAAATTTAAGAAATATCAGTAAAAAAGTACAAACAATAGATAATAATATAATTAACTGTAATTTAGAAAATAAGCATAAATTACATAGTTTATTTTCAGAAGATCCAAGTCAGAATTGTTTAATAGACTTAATCATAAATTTATCAAAAAATTTAGAATTAGAAAATAAAAAGAAAATTAATTATTTAGAAATTATAAAAGAAAATATTACTACTAGAGATCAAGAAATTAGAAATATAAAAGATTCTTTAGATTATATTAAAAATCAAAATTCAAGTATTTTAGAAAAACTTGTTAAATTAGAAAAAATACCATCTAAAGTAGATTTAACAGAAATAAAAAGAATTTTAGATTCTAATAAATCTAAAGAAATAGAAATAATATCTACATCAAGTGTAGAAAAAGATTTAAAAGTTTTAACAAGTACATTAGAAAATGTAAGTTTTAGAGAAACAGGAAAAGAAAATGTAACTAGAAAATTACCTAAAGAATATAAATTTTCAAGATGAATACAAATCATTTTTTAGGAAGATCTAGAACAATAAATGAAGAAGTATCTACATCTAGAAATAGCACTTCAAGTATAAGCAGAAATATAATAGAAAGAATTTTGAATAGACCAGTACAATATAATCAAAATATAGAAGAAATTATAGATCTTCGACAAGATTATTTAAGATTTCAAACTAATGGATTAAGAATTCTTAACCCAAAAATATTATATAATAGAGGAGTTTTTTAGACAAGAACACAATTTTTCAGACATAGTAGAGAAGTATCTATTCAGTGTATAGGAAATCAAGTAAGAAAATTAAATTTAATATAAGAAGATTCTAAGAGAGAATTAAAAAAGAAAAATTTTAGATTCATGCATTTAGGATTAATAGTTATAGGAATAAAAGAATTAATGAGGAAAAATTTAGGATGCAAGGTTTTAGTTACTATATATGATGAAAGAATTAATAATATAGATAAAAGTATGATTGCTAGTACAGAAGTTGATATGAATAATAATAATGGAATAATTTATTGTAATCCAGATTTTTTATTAACTATTAAAGATTTTTCAGAAAAAAATAAAATGGGAATTCAAACAAAATGATATGAAGAAGTAGAAAACGGAGATAATTTATTAATTAGTATAGGATTTTTAGGAAGATGTTCAAATAATTCCCAAACAAAATATAAAATTTATATAGATAAAGTGGTAAATTTAATGAGTAGTAAAGGAATTAATATGATTAAACCTAAAGAATATTTATCAGAACAATTGGCAGGATTAAAATGGGATATGGATAAATAATTATAGCACCACAGGAAGTATTAACTTATAAAGATATTCATGGAAGAACTAGTTTAAGATTTTTAGATTATAATCAAGTACAAAGATAGAATGATTTTGAAGAAGAAACTAATCCTGAAGAAGAACAAAATGAACCATTTCAAAATCAAGTTCATATAGAATTAATGGATGAAAAATTAGATAGAATAATTTATCCAAAAAAATTAGGAATGAACTTAGATAATAAAGAATTTTTAGAACTTGAAGATCAAATGTATCTTAATAAGATAATAACAGAATCTGAATATTTATATTATGATCAAGAACAGAATATAAGAATATTAATTATTAAAAAAGATAATGATTCAGAAAATTCAGATTTAAGTTATACAAAAGAATTTATGGAAAATTCTAATACATATAAAACTTTTAGTGATACTCCTTTTAATAAAACAATCAAACATGAGACAATGGTTTATGGTGTAGGATTTCCCCCAATAGGAGCTTATCCTTTATGTAATAATACAGAAGGAAAATATATAGCAAGAGGAAGTGAAAGACCCTTAGAAAAGAAAATAGAATTCCAATCATATCATAAAGCACAAATTCCAAATATTACAGTACATGATCCACAGACATGGAATAATGTAATAGATGTATGAAAAAAAAGACTATAATAGGACATTATACTATAAATTTTCAAGAAATTGAAGCTTTAGACATGTAGAGATATTTAGAAACATTTTTAGGAGAAAGTGTAAAATCTATGTGGGAAGCATTTAAATTAGAAAATAAAAAAAAAATTGAACAATTAATTAATATAGGAAGTAATCCATATAATTTTGTCAATAAAATACAAATATTAATAACAAGAGCAGATCCAAATTCAGGACATATGAGTATACAAAGAAAAGTTATGAGAGATCTATAACAACTTAGTCTTTATAAATGGACTAAAGGAAAATATGTTTAAAAATTCTTAAATGAATATCATTATTTAACTTCAATATCAGGAAATACATTTAATCGAGAAATTGGTAATAAATTGTTTCATAAATTACCAGGACCATTAGGATTAGAAATTACAGATAAATGGAATAATTTAGTATCAGTAAAAAAAGAACCAGAAAAACAATGGAATATAGAACAGAGAATACAATGTGTAATGAGATGCCTAGAAGATAAATGTGTAGAATTACAAATTCAAAAACAATTTAAAAAGAAAGATTATAAATTCTGTAAAGATATTTTTACCCCACAAACTTATGGAGCCTCTAGTTCAAGAAAAAATAAATATAGTAATAAAGAAATAAATAATAAAAGACATTTTAAGAAAAGATACTTTCTTAGAAAATCCAATAAAAGAAAACCATATTTAGATGAAAAAAGACATGTTAGAAAATTTAAACAAGAAAAAACTTATAAAAATAGACTTAGCTGTTATGTTTGTAATAGTAATGAACATTTATCTAAGACCTGTCCAAAAAGAATAAATAATTATGATAAAAAGTACACTAATAGAATGCACTGATGGAGATTTAATACAATTAGATGAATACATCTCAGACAAAGAATCTATTTATAGTATTATATCAATAGCAGATAAAAATTTAGAAGAAAATAGAGAATCTGATTATGAAATAATAGATGAATTCTCTAACATAAGATTATAAGAAGAATCAGAATCAAAAGAAGAACTAAATTTAATGAATAATATAATAGAATGTCTACATAATTGACAAAAATATAAAGGGGCAGATAATATAGCTTGTTATTTATGCAATTGGTATCCAGTAAGAAAGCTTAGAGCTAAATGTTTAGAATGTTATAAAGAAGCATGTATAAAATGTTTAGAAAAAAAGAACCTTATTGAAAAAGAAGAAATTAACTCAGAAATTTTAAAGGAAAGAATTGAAATTTCAGAAATAAAAATTCTTA